TTATTTGCCCAAAATGTCAATAGTACCAAGAAACTTCGTAACCCACTTCTGACACATTCAATTAGTCACAGCATCTTCTCCATACACTGCACACATCTTTTTTTGCATATCAGTTGCATTTTTTACCTTTCTTGAAATAATAAAACATAACACTTCAAAAATGTTGCTTATTTTCTTCCAGTGTTATTTCTTTGGAAGAGATATCTCATAAAACATTTTATTAAATGGCTGCACAAAAATTCACCAATTTTGTTTTTTTATGCACGCTGATATGACAGCTATTACAATACAATCTAACAAAATTGTTTTGAATGAAATTAAAGACAACTAAGCCCTACTACAGCCATCTTACGGAAAAAATATGTAATGGACTTTTTGGCCAACCCAATACTATAAAGGTGGTGTACTTTAATTTTTTTCTGCTAGATTATATATATATATTCCATTATTCCATGCACAGGATAAACACAACACATTTTTTATTTAAAAAATTCTAGTTTAAATTTAACAAATATCTAGTCTTGCAAATTCATCACTAATAGTTTAAGAAATAGTTAAGAAAAAAACTAAAATAAACACTAAAATTACCTATGGAATCTAATATTTCACATATCATAATAAAAAATACCAAATTAGTCCTGGCTGGTGTGGCTCAGTAGATTGAATACCTGACTGCGAACAGAAAGGTCGCCCGTTTGATTCCCAATCAGAGTGCATGCCTGGGTTATGGGCCAGGTCCCCAGTAGGGGGCACACAACAGGCAACCACATATTGATGTTTCTCTCCCTCTCTTTCTCTCTCCCTTCCTCTCTCTCTAAAAGTAAATAAATAAAATCTTCAAAATGCTCTACTGGATAGCATCTTTTAAAAAATAATACAAAACAAAGAAATACAAAATATACAGAATTATATAATCAGCTTTTTAAAAAAATCCTATTTATGCCCTGGCTGGTGCGGCTCAGTGGATTGAGTGCTGACCTGCGAACCAAAGAGTCACCAGTTCAATTCCCACTCAGGGTACATGCTGGGGGTGTGGGCCAGGTCCCCAGTAGAGTGTGCATGAGAAGAAACCACACAATGATGTATCTCTCCCTTTCTTTCTCCTTCCCTTCCCCTCTCTCTAAAAATAAATAAATTAAATATCTTAAAAAATAAAAAGTAAACACTCTATTTAATAACTGACAAAAAAGTCAAATGTGAAAAGTGGAAAAGGATCCAAAGTATAGACAAAATAGTCAAGCTTGAACAATATATAAAACAAATGAGATTAAAACAGATATAGAGAATAAAATAGTAAAAGTGGATTCTGTAGATATAAGACCTCTGGATAATATAATTCCTGTTTCAGTCTCACAGTTTAAAAAATCTATTGTTTGCATCAAATCAGAATGTTTAAGAGACAGAACTAGGAGAATATAAAATCCAGTGAGAACTAAAGCCATTGTATAAATCAGGCCCTTATGAGCGCGATAACTTTTTAGTTAGTGAGCTTCCATGGATTTTGAAAAGCTAATCTTAAAGCAATTTTCTTTTGGGACACTTAAGCACGTTCAGCTTCTAACCAAAAATGCTTCTGTCTTAAAAAAAAAAAAAAGGAGGGGGTGGGTGAATGTCTAGAGGCTGTCATTTAGTTTGAGCTTTAATAGGCTCTTAATCTCTATCTGTCTGATACCACAGGGTGACTATTTTCAGCAACAAAGAAGGGGCAAGTGCCTTAGAAACCTACCACCATCTTTGATTTGACATCTCTCTTCTCCCAGGTTCACAATAAACTTGAAATCAAAGTCAGAGATTTCCCTTTTACTGAGTCAAATAGGAGCAACGAAAATATCAAATGTCAAATCCTGAGGTGAAAAATTTATACTATGGTTTATAAAGCAAAAGTTTGGTCAGGAAAAAATGCCTCCAAGTTCTACTCTCATTAATGCAGCTATAAAAGCGCTACCTTATCTTTTTTTAGACATAAATTATTAAAACATGATTAAAAGCAGCTGCCATATGAACACGGGGCAAGAAAGCAAAGATCTGCTGACATCCACAATAACCGAATATGGTATCAGTATTACCCTGAAGCCACATTGTATTACCCAATTACCACATTGAAACATCAGGAAAAAAACACGCATGTACAAAGCATCACTCAACAGTCCTCATAAATCTCCTTTCACATCTCCAGGTCTGTCCAGAGGCAGTGTAGGGTAGCAGTTGAAAGAAAAGGTTCTGGAGCCAAAATGCCTGGGTTGAACTCAGGCTTCGCGAATTGCTGGCTGAATGACAGAAGATAAATTATTTAACCTCTCTGATGAGTTGCTTAACTGTGGCCTCAGTTTTCTCATCTCATACCAAGTGCTCAATAAATGTGAGGTACTATCATTACTACAAGGAGGAAAAAAGGGGGAAAAAACCTCCCAGGAAAGCCAACAGGTGTTGAATTTCTCTTTGCTAATAGCTCATCAAAAAGATGAATATAATATTCACATGCTCTAGGACTTGGGAAATTTTTAAAGTTACTGATTACATCAAGCACATCATGCTTCCAGTGGGGATTCAATGAAGATAATCAGCCTTATGATATGCTTACCCTACTCTGTAGGCTTGGGGTTCACACCATCTGCAGAAGGACTGATGGAAGAGCAAGAGATCTGAGGATGCTATGCACTCAACTAAGTTACCTTGGAGTATTATGTATCTAGAAGTCATTTTAGCTGGTCTTATTTTGTCTTGTTTTCCATTTATAAGTCATATATGTGTTGTGGTGTGAAGTAGAAAGGAAACGCTGTAAACAGTATTAAATACCAGAGCTAGGCAGCTGGTCCTTACACAGCTAAAACTCGATTATGAATTTCCTTCTGAGCATTTCAATTACTTTCGATTTGAAGCACAAATGCACCTTGGGATATGAGAACAAGGAGGCCTCAGGAAGGGTAATCAATCTTGTCCCATGTAATCTTTAGGCAGCAATAATGTTATTCTCAGCGTGCCTAAAAACAAACAGTACTTCAGAATCTGAAAGGAGAAGGGACCTTAGAGGTCACCTACCCAAAGCAAAATGAAGGAATAACCTTTCCCACATCTCAACCTCCACCTTTGCCTGAAAATATGATGGGGGTGGTAACAGCAGAAGTGGTGGCTGCTGCCGCAGATGTTTATACCTCAGGCACTGGGCCCTGCATTCACATGCACTGACACATTGAAGCAATCTGTGAAATGAGAAAATCGTAAAAGAAAATATAAGATGGAATTTTAAAGACCATTCCAAAAAAGATAAAAACCTAAAATTTTCATAGAATGGGTTATAATATTACCATAAATCAAAAAAATATATTATTCATCCTCTAAATGACAGACCATCATTGTACTCAATTTAGTTCAGCAGACATGAATGAAACAGAAGCACTTTCATTCACTCACTTTAACAAGCTAAAGACACTTGTCATTAAAGGTCTGTGTGCCTGACACCTTAGTAAGTACCAGAAGTACCATTACTACAATCACCATTAAAACATGATTCCTGTAGGTAAGGAGTGTCTACTCTGTTGGTAAAGCAGTGACTGTACTGGCTCACAAAAATGTAAGAGATAAAATGTGGTGGAGTCCATGGCAGCGTGGTGTGAACCCCAGCTCTGCCACCAGCTGTGACAGCTTAGACAAGTCAGTCAACCTGCAAAAGTCACTGTGTTACATGTATGCATTTATATATACAATAAAGTTGTTACAAAGTTGTGTAAATGGCTTTAAGTTGCTTTAAAAGTAAAACTGTTATAATTATATAAATTTATATATGTAAATATTATTATAAAGGTAAAATGGGATATATAGTGCAGACTAGATCAGTCTGAGTTTCCTTTATTCCCTGATAAGCTGACCCTGAGATCTTCTCCATACCTCACTCAAAGTTTCGTATTACCTACCTGGATCCTAACAAAGGTAAGTACATTACACTTAAAACCTTTAGTTTTATAATTTTTTTCAACTCTGTATTTCTGCATACAACTACTATCTTCAGGGACATCTTACCTACTGTGCCCTTAACATATTGTAAATATTTTAGTTATAGAAAATTTTGCCTCAATTTTTAACAAATGTTTTAACCTATGCACATGACAATTCAAAACATAAAGACAGTTTGTACTGTAAATGTTAAAATAACAGAAGAACAGTTCATAAAAAGGCAGTAATCTAAATACTTTAGCTGGAATATCAAAGGAGAAAGAGTTGCCCATATCATTCTCTACAGCTACCTCTAAGAAATTTCCTTAGGATTGTGTGACAAAGACCCATCGACCATACTGCTATTAAAATTTGGACTTGATTACTGAAATATTTACTAATTGAAAATTCAAAAAGACCATGGCCAGTGACCTGATTCCTACTTATACATAATAAAAGAGAACTATACTATTAAAGAGAGAGAACTATGCCTTGGATCCCACCCCCAAGTACTATGAGTCAGTCCATTGGAGGCATTCTTTCATTCAATAAACATTTATTATGCACCTACTGTGTGCCAGGCATTGCACAGTGAACACAACAGACCAAAAAAAAAAAAAAAAATCCCTTCTTTCCTAATAAGAGGGATATCTCTCATAATGTCCCCATGTCTCCCTAAGGCTGCCCAAGCGTTAACTCCTGGAGGCCAAGTCCGGGTCTCACTCCCATCCAACAAGGGTCAATCACAGTGACACTCCACCCGAACCCAACAGGCCTCTTAGGCTTGCCGCCCTCGACCCCTGAGTTCTTAACCAATGTGGCCCGGGATCCCTTGGGCAATCCAGGGAAGCCCTCGGAACCTGACAGTGGGGTTTCACCAGCGCAAACTCCGAAAGCGCCACGTGCACGCCCGGCGTGTGCCCGCCACCCTCCGCCAGTCCCGCGCAGGCGCCGCCACCGCCCTGCTCGCGCGCGCGGCCCCGTACGCCACTGTGGGATCCAGACTCGTGCCCGAACCCTACCAGCTCAGGTTTCGCGTGGTCCCGACCGCACCAACCACCACCTCTTACCGGCACTCTGGCCCCGGCGCCCCGGCCTCCCGGCTCCCGGCGGCCGCCTCGCTGAGCACCTCCTCCTCGGCCTCCTCGGCCCCCTCGGAATCCCCGACCACGGCCTCGGCGGCCACCTCCGTCCCCGCCACCTCCTCTCTCCACCACTGCTGTGGCTCCTGCGCGATCTCGGTCCCCACCGGGCCGGTGGCGGCCGGACCGGCGACCGTGGCCGCCTCGAGCTCCTCGGTCTGCCTGCATCGGGCCGCTGCGGGAGGTGCAGAGCGAGCAGGGGCCGGGCGCCCGGAGACGCCCTCGCCCCACCGGAAGCGGGTCGCACCGAGAAGAGCAGAGTCGACTGGCCCGGGTGGCTGCGAGCGGAGCGCGGGCGCGGAGCCGGGGATGGAAGCCGCTGGCGGGGTGGGGGCGGGGCTGTCCGGGATCCCGGCAGGTTGGGCCGAACAGCCTGGGGGTAGTCGGTAGGCTCGGGTGAAGGCCCGAAGGCGGGAGCGCGCAGTGAGGGAGGGGGATGGGTCTGGAGGTGGGGCTGTAGTAGGTAAAAGGACAGGTTATAAAACAGTTTGTGTAATATAAACTCGTTTTTGTTTAAAAGAAAGTAAAGAAAAATACAAATATGGGTGTATTTGCATGAAATGCCTGAAGTGTATGCCAAAATGTTAAGTGGTTAATTGTGGTGAGATAGAGTGTTAATTTTTCTGTTTAATCTCCTGATTATCCAGAATGAATATAATTTTTAAAACTTCTACTGAACTCGTGATTCATGAGCAGGTAGGGAGGAAAATGCAGGTGGGTTTCAGGTGAGAGGTGGGTGTGGGCTGCAGCAAGCAACTGGGAGTAGAGAGAACAGTACAAAACTTGTAGATGGATAAACCAGCTCTGAGGTCCCCAAGAGAACTTCTGTAGAAGTGACTATGTTAGCTCACTCTTACTGAGCACGTGAGCCTTACCTTCTCCTAATGGCCCTGTTAGTCTTATTTTGCAGACGAAGAAACAACCCGAAAGAAGTTAACTCGCCTTAGGTAACACAGCAGGGTAGTGGTGGAACTAGCATTCTAGCTCCCTGCAGTCTGTTATGTTTCACTTACTCTGTAGAAAGTTTTTGAGACTTATCCATATTTTCTGATTTAATGTTTTGTTTCTTTTTATGCCTAACTAGTAGTCATTTTATGAATCAGTCTCTATGTTTAACCGAGGGGAAGAAGGGCAATTGGTTATGCATATACATGGGAGCCATTTTTAACTTTGTATTACAGAAACCACATGACAGTAATAAAAACAAGGGTTTAAACTGAAATGTCCATTGTCCCATCAGCATTGAAAAGTAAAGTGTTTTCTTCCTTCCCAGTCTTTTCTGGCCCTTAACCCATATATATACACGTATTTAACACTATTTATTGCTTCAGTTGTCTACTCTGTCAGGCACAGTGCTGTGTCCTGAAGATTTTTTTAAAAAGCCATTGTCAGCCCTGGCTGGTGTAGCTCAGTGGATTGAGCATGGGCTGGGAACCAAAGTGTCCCAGGTTCGATTCCCAGCCAGGGTACATGCCTGGGTTGCAGGCCATAACCCCCAGCAACCACACATTGATGTCTCTCTCTATCTCCCTCCCTTCCCTCTCTAAAAAAATAAATAAATAAAATCTTTTTTTAAAAAAAGCCATTGTCTCTACCCAAGTCACTGGTCACTTCCCATAAGAAAGATACTCCTGTAAACAGATTATTGTCATAGTGTGCTGAGTACAGTGAAAGGCTCAAGGTGAAGGTCCAAGGGAAGAAAATTTAAACTATGACTGAGTCTGTCACTCAAGGCTTCATGAAAAATAGACCCTTAAAATAGGGCCTGAGGGTTGAGCAGGAGTTTGATAACTGGAGGTGGAGGCACTTCCCAGGCAAAGGGAACCACTGAGAAAGGTGTATAAAGTGCACAGAAACTCAGTCTTAAACACAGGAATACAGCAATTACTGCACCAAAGGCCATTCTAAGTCCTTTATTTAAATCTCACAGCAGCCCTATATAAGGTCACACTAGTGTCCCTACTTTGCAGACAAAGGATCTAAGAGATATTAACTAACCTACAAAATCACACAGCTAGTAATGGCATGATTGGAACCCAGGGCAGTCTGGCTTCAGAGGCTTGCTCTTAATCACCATACTCAAAAAAATTTATTCTGTGGAGGGGAATTAGAATATCCAGGCAGAACCACTTGGGAAATACTGGAAAAATCTAGGCCATAAATAGGGCCTGGATTAAGTTGCGAGCCAAGGAGGCAGATAATAGAATAGGGAAGAAGAATTAATAGTACTTCATGCCCAGTTGTAAGTGGGAAGGTCAGAGGGGAGAGAAGTTAGGGTAGATGCCCAGGTTTCTTGCTCAGGTGACCAGGTAGGTGGTGCCATTAGTCAAGAGGGAATACAGATTTAGGGGAGAGGATGTTGTCAGGATAATAGTATTTTTTAAGGTTGTATTCTGCACTTTTCTGTGTTGCTTTTTATCATAACATTTTGGTCAGTAGGCCCTTCTCACACTTCTTCAATTTTTCGTACTCTTTTCCCTCTGTACTGTTCTCCAGCCTTTCCCTTTTGTTTTATTCCTCCAGGCCCTATAGGCCCTATTCCGGGCCCCCCACCCTTTTTTCTCTCTCTACTTATAAAATTAAGTTTCACTGTGGCATTCAGGATTAGGTTATTCATCCTCAGGCTAACCTCAAATTCAGTAATTCCTCCTCTAGAAAAACACTAAACCACAGGAAGATGGGAAAAGTAGAAAGAATTGTATCCTTTTCCCTATACACCAGAAGAACTAATAGGAGATACACACGTATGAATAGTATTTTTTTAAAACCCAGTGGACAGCCTGGCCCCCCAACCCATGTGGCCAGGATTGATAATGGTTTGGTACAATACATTGATTGTCTCTTCCTAATTCTACAGCCAGTGGCATAAAGTTGGTGACTTGAAAAGGGCCACAATGGGAACTCTTACACCACAGAAATCGGCAAGTTTCTGAAATAAGGGCTTTGTTGGTTGTGGGGCAGAAACAGGTTAAATTTCCCAGCACACCACTGACCTGGGCTCACCTCTCCGAGGTGAACATCCATGTATTAAAGTCATGCCAGACATTAGCATAGATCAAGGGTTTCTCAGCTTTGGCACATTTAGGGCTGGATGATTTTTGTGGTGGTAGCTGGTCCTACACATTAATGTCAGAGAGGATCGCAGCCTCTACCGTTTGGTAGTCTCCCCCCATCCACAGGGGAGATGTTCCAGAGCCCCAGTGAATGCCTGAAATTGCTGATAGTACTCAACCCTATATGTACTGTTTATGTCCTGTGCACACATATCTGTGATAAAGTTCAATTTATAAATTAGACAATTGTAATAAAACAACTCTGACAATATTCCATAATAAAAGTTATGTGAACATGTCTCTCAAAATACCTTATTATACTGTACTCACCTCTTCACTTAAAGGAAGTGCTTTACAACTTCTTCAGCATGTCCGAATCGCCAGCATCACTGTTGTGGTTCGGGGGCATTATTAAGTGAAAAAGGGGTTACTTGAGCACAAGCACTGTGATACCGTGACAGTCGATCTGGTAACTCAGATGGCCACTAAGTGCCTAAGGGGCTGGTGGCACACGCAGGAAGATGCCTGAACCAGGATGCTTTGTGCCTCAGGTGGGAAGGAGCAGAATGATGAGTGATTTCATCACTACTCAGAATGACAGGAAAGTTAAAACTTCTGAATTGTTTATTCCTGGAATTTTCCAGTTTGTATTTTCAGACTGCGGTCGACCGTGGTTAACTGAAACCACGAAAAGCAGAACCACAGACAAGGGATTAACTATAGTTGCTGCCCACTAGGAGCCCTCCCCCTTAGCTAAGACAAAAATGTCTTCAGACATTTCCAAATGTCCCCCAAGCAACAAAATCACCCTGGATGAGAAATAGCACAAATGGATTTAACTATGGAAGTGTCCCTCAAGAAGCCTCTAAAACTGTGAGGTTAAAAAGATCAGTGGGTGTCAAATTAGGCCAACTTCATTAGGGCACATTCATCTGCTTAACACTTCCACTTAGCGGTCAATTTAAGACTCAATAGCACTAGTGAAAGGTATTAATTACTGTACTTCTTTTACAGAAAGCCTTGTTTGTGGATAGTGTGAGCTCACACTTAACATTCCTTTGTACCTAGCACTATTCTAAGCATTTCATTCATACTAATTTAATCTTCATAATATTCCTATGAGGTAAATACTATTATTCCTATTTTACAGATAACAAAGCTGAGTCACAATAGAGCTAAATAATTAGCTCAAGCTAATAAGTGATAGAACTGGGATTCATACCCAGACATCCCGGTTTCAGAATCTGTGTCTTTAAGTCTATGCTGCAGAGGCCATCAGAAGTTCAGAGACTACATTGGTCTCCCCTCCCCCATCTATTACCTGTGAGACAAGGGTTTTTTTCAATTCAACCAGTAGTGTTCCGGATACGGAGGGTTCTGTGGTCCCCTGTTAACACTGCCTAATTGGAGGACACCAGTAGCGGAAGTTCTTTTAACCAGGATGTTGAGTATGCTTTCCTCATTTGATTCTGCTCAACATGGAAAAGGCGTCTGTCATCAGGATGAAAATGCCATACAAGTCCCTCCTGTGTTGCAAGAAGCCAGAGACCTTTTGATTTGGTAAATAACAAAGGAAATGAGGGTTTTCTGGTATCACTTTCACTTGCGAGCCATGACTTTAAGCATATGCCATTGCATGAATAAAAAATTCAGTTTTCCCTTAGGTAATATTCGTGAAACAGCAAAACAAAGTGCTGAATCACATCGGTAGCTCCTTAAGAAAGTAAACTATACTTTCTGTGTTTAAATATATATATATAGCCTAATTTATTTTTTTAAAAGGAAGCCAATTATTTAAGGCAATAGTTCTGAAAATGTGGACCAGCAACATAGCACCTGGGAACTTGTAGAAATGCAGATTCTCAGGACTCACTCCAGACTCAGAAACTCGGGGTAAAGCCCAGCAATTCAGTGCTTGAACAAACCCTCCAGGCAATTCCGATGCTGCTCAGGTTTGAGAACCACTGTCTCAAGGGAGTGTTTGAGCCTCAGACATCACAAGAAAACTTCATAATCCTAGGCCAAGGCCATGGATCTCATAAACTCTCTCAGCTTGATGAAAGTAGATGTTAAGTTAGGTCTTTTTAAAAACAAGTCACTGTCACCCTGCAAATATAATTTTCATGTAATAAATGCATCTTCCTGATTCTTCTCTTTGTAAGCGGGCAGATTCAGTGGATTTCTGATACTTAGAATATCAACAAGGCAAACTGGAAAACCCTGATATGGGTTATCAAAAAGATATCTCTATGTTCACATGT